TTTATAATTAGTAGCCCGACCTTTCGCTTAAATGTGCGAGGATTCAAAGGATTGAGGGTTCATACCTCGACAGGGATTAGACCAAGACTTTTATTTAAAAAAAGATATAATATCCCGATTTTAGCACTATTATATCACCGTTATAGCCGGATCCGAAATAGCCGGATATACGCGAATAAACACGGGATTTATCATCAACTTATATGTAATCAAAAAACCTACAATGTACATCAACAACTGGAAAGCTGAAAATTGTTTAGCTAATCGAAAGTTTGTTGGCAAAATAAAAATTTGTAATGGAGTAGCAATTAAGTAGGCTAACAAAAATATGGAAGCAGTCCAAGCACTTGAAGGCTTTTCAATCTCGCATTGTGCTTTGAAGAATTCATATGCAGATTTAACTGTTGTAAATTGAATTGTAGAATTTATTTGAGAAATATTTAAAGACATTATTCCCTTTAAATTTTACTGAAATTTGTTACATATTAGTTTTGAATATAAACAATATCGAAAATTTTATTAAATGGATGTAAAGAGAATTTAATATAAAGTCTTACCAATCATTTCTTATTGGAATAAAAAGTATTTTTGTATGTTCTATTTAGAAGGACAGAAATTATAAAAGCTTTTGTTTAAGACATTCCCTTATAGGGCTATAAAATGAAAGTAAAAAAGAATCGGAACAAAGTACCGTTTGTTGTGCTATTATTCGGATAATTATGGTTATCCAATTAGTTTAGACAAACAAAGTTAGGGATTTTAAAGGCATTCGTGGGATTTTAAAGGCGTGGGATTTTAAAGGCATAATTAAAGGCGTGGGATTTTAAAGGCATAATTAAAGGCATAATTTCGTGGGATTTTAAAGGCATAATTATCTCAATTTTATCCAACCAAGTTAGGTTATCCAAAAACATCTCAATTTTATCCAACCAAGAATAATATCAGAAAATGATATTCAGTTGATTATCAAAAATCAGAAAATGAGCATAAATCAGGTCCTCATTTTAAAAATACAAAAAAATTTAGGTAATAAATCTGGGTATACGAATAATTTATCTAGGATGCCGTTGCTTGGGCTATTAGTAGGTAAAAATCTGCTAGGATCAAGGACGGGTTAACCAATTCCATTTTAGGTTTACTGAAAAATAAGCTTAAATCCTCCCCTTAATTTTAACTTGCCCGAAAAACAATATCAGTATTAAATCTTAAATTATGAATTAATGTCTAGAAATGAATAGAATTTATAAAATTCCAAATATGTATTTATAGCTCTAATATAATTAAATATGTCAGCAAAAAATAGCAAAAAAAGAATAATAAAAAATTAGCAAAAAAATTTTTTCACATAAATTCTATTCATGCATACAAAGGAATTTTCTTTTCAAAGCTAATTCACTAAAAGGCATGCTTTTTATATTTAAATAAAAGATTTTAAGCTGGTCTTTTTTTCTTTGTTAGTTTTACACTCTATTAAAAATTTAATTTTTAATTATTATATCTGATTTTTAAGGTATTAAAATAGGAATTTTGGAAAAAATTTTTGGAAAAAATTTTCTTCCAAATTTTTTATGCATAATATAAAATATTATATTTCGTGGGATTTTAAAGGCATAATTATTCCAGTTAAAGTACGGTAAATAGATTATAAGGAATGATTATAATTGTAGTGTGTGCGAATTTGATAAAGCTGTTTAAAAGTGATGCCATAATTTAATTATTGTTTTTGTAAAAGTTTTTCGTTAAATTTTTAATTTAATAATAATATGTTAAGCACCCATTTAAAAGCAAATAATTTTAAAATTTAATTTGATGTTTGAAATAAAAAACGGCAAAAAAGAATTTTAAGAAAACTAAAATTAAATAATTTAATTGGCTAATTAAATTGAAACTTGTGCATTTTTATAAAATGGGATAGTTTTATTGCGTATTAGGGTGTGTTTAAATTTTGTCAAAATCTTTAAAAGCAATATATCGTTTAGTGTGTTTAGTGTTTTCTGAGGAGTTATTATCAATGAGATAGATAAAGATCGATATTGCATGAATAAAGTTTATTAAGTTAATATTTTGAGATATAGATACGACACTCTTAGTCTGTTCTCTAGTCTGAGCAAGGATGCCAAGAAAATAGATTAAATTTTTTCGAGGGAAAGATATTTTAGAATTTGCAGATTTTCTTTAAAACAAAGATACTTTTGATGGATAAATGTATACCAGGGATGTCACGTCTTGAGGCTTTCTTAGGATTTCTTAGGATAGGATTTCTGGTCGAAAAGCGTCCCGGGTTAAAGTATCGGACATCGGGGTTCGCATAACTCGTGAAACCCTATTATACACTTGGCAATTTATTTATGAAATACATACATATTGCTGTTTTGTTATTTTTTTCGTTTTAATAACACATTTAGAGATAATAAACCCGCAATATTGACAACATATCTCAAAATAGCTTACATGTCACATTAATTATTTTTACATTTATCCTTTTTATTAAAAACAAAGTTTTTTTGTAGTTCTTTATTTCAAATATAGAACAGCTAAGCCAAAAAATGTTTAGTAGCTAACACACGCTTTAACGAAAAAAGCGGAAATTGTTTAATGAAGAACTCATGACAGCTTGTTTAAAAGGAAATAGGGAATGTAGTAGTGTTTTAATGAAACAGAGAGCAGTTGAACTCTAATTGAATTAGTACTATTTTCAGTTGGAAATAAAAAAGAAAGACTAAGCTAAATTTATACTTGGACTAAAATATAATTTAATACAACTTTAAAATGAATAAATAATAGGTTCTACTTGATATTATGAGTTTAATCAAACTTTATCCCAGACCTAGAGGTGTAGGTCCCGAACATGAAGAAATGTTTTAGACCATACCCCAACTTTGCAACACCAAGAAAAATTCAATTATTTTTTGACTGAACTCATAAAGTTCGATTGAACTCATAAATTCAAGTAGAACCAAATAATGTATGCTTTGAACAAGCATAGAGGTGTTCCGATTCGGAATTCTTTAGTTATGGTTATGGGGCTACAGTCGCACCGGGGTTTGTAAATGACTCGCATCATGTTTGAACTTGAAAAAAGTTCGGGTGTGGGTTTCGGTTATCTCTGAACTACAGTTACAGAGTTGGGGAAAATAAACAAAAAGGACAGTATATGCTCGAATAATTACTCTCTCAAAATAATTGCCCCTTTTAACTAATAGCGAGTTATTGAACAAGCTGGTTATGACTCATGACAGCTTGTTTAAAAGGAAATAGGGAATTACTCAGTAATTATTTGAGCATATTTTGGACGGAGATGCCCTGAAAAACAGTTTAGAGGATTTTTTTCAAAATAGTCTTATCTTCATTTTTATCTTCCAATATCAATTCTACATATTAGGGCATCTCTGTTTTGCTACAATCTTTTAGAAATAATTTACAAATCTTTTGGGCCAAATTACTAAATACAAATTGCCAGAAGGCAAATTTTTAGGAAATATCCTCTCCTCAAATCAAGATGAGGGAGAATGAAATACAATGCTTTTGGGTTGTTGTAATTTGTTCATGAGCTTGCTATACTGGGTGACCAGAAAATAATTGCACACGTTCTTATGGCATAACTTTATTCAAATTAGAGATAATTGTATCAATTATAGCTTATATAATGTAAAATTAAATATGGACAAATCTAAAAAAAATTTTTCGCACCTCTTCGAGTGAGATTTAAGCTTTATTTGATCCAATTATTTTTAATTTGAATAAAGTTATGCCATAAAGAACGTGTGCAATTACTTTCCGGTCACCCTGTGTATATGAGCTGATAACTTTAAGGTATAATTATGTGAATGTATTTGATAATAGTTTGATAATTAGCGTAAAGTATATAGCTTTTATTTCCTAAGGCTGTGCAGTAGGCGGCGTGGTGTAATGGATAACACAACTGTCCGCTCTACTGAAAATGCTGGTTCGCTCGCTCCCATCCGCTGATTAACCTTCTGGACCAGCTAAAGGAGAGAAATAGCTACCAGCTGCTTTACGTTAGTTTCGTTTTAAAGCTCATGAACTACATGTAAATAACATGAATTATGTTTAATGTCCACCTGGTTGATTTATGGTTGGTTTAAATGACGTTGACCACGAACTTTTGCAGAATTTTTGCTTTTCGTTGGTGAGTTAGTTTTAGGGTTACACTTAGAGTTGGTACTATGTTTCTTTCCTTTGCGATGAGCTGAAGACGATGAAGAACCGGGCATCATATGAAAATTATGTTGAGCACCTGTGTCAGTTCCATAAAATTCATGGTCTACGTTGCTTACATTTGAAGAGTCGCCATCATAGCTTTCCTCTTCAAACTGTTGAGAATAATAGTCCTGGAAGCCTTCATTGTTGAACTGAAATTTTTAAAATATGTATCATAGCGGTGGAAAAGCATGTTAATATAGTCTGTGGATATAGAACCCAAATCCTTTTATATAGCAACTAAAAGGATTAGCTATATTTCAAACATATTTATCTATATTGTAAGGAAGAAAAAATCCAGCTGGTTAGCATTTAAAACGCTCACTAGGTGGGGGTTTAAGATCTAATAAAAGAGAAGGTAAAAGCAGTGTCCCGGTAGCTCAGTTGGTAGAGCACCTGTACGTGGTGAGCGAAAGCCCTAGCAATAACTGCCAGGAGGTCGAAGGATCGAAGCCTGGCCGAGATTAAACTTTTACCTTGCTTTATCTATATAAACAATTATGAAGATTTTTAGTTATAATGATTACTAAAAACGAGTTACATTCGGATGATGATGGGGAAACATGTTCTGATGAGTCGGTGAATTTACACCAGATGGTGGAAATGACGTATGAGCTGAACTAGGATACCAATCACTATTGCTATACTCTGGTGCACTTTCTACCTAAAATAATCAACAAGCTTTATATATAATTTTAATTTAGCGTGAGTTTATCTCAGTACAACTATTTGGTCCTGTAATCAGTACTATTTGCTCCTTAAATTGTTTATGTGAAAAATCAGTATACGTCATCAGGTGTGAAAGTTGGATTTCCAAATTGATTGGACGTTGTTCCATAATACGTGTGGTCAAAGTTTCTTACTGGAGAACCATGAGCAGGAGAAGCAGCAACAGAACCTATCGGTGTTGATGGTGGAGCATGAATATGTTGAACTTGCCCAGCAGGTTCCTCAGGCTAATTTAGAGATAAAAAAGAATTGTATAATCTCTAAATATGTATAAACATACATGTATCGTACTACTATTCTGTCCCTCAGTATTCCACCACATTGAAGAACCACTTCGAAATTCGATTGCTAGCATTAATAATACAAATAGAAAATGATAATAAATTAATTTAGATAATTTTAACATTCTTCAAGTCTAAATTAGATGTTTAAATTTTAAATATAATATAAAAACAAGCAATAAATTTTAACTGCCATTATTTTACAAGAAAAACTTGAATAATATGGGGTGATGGAGAGTGAAGGCATTACCCACTCTAGGCGCCCGTCTAAGGCATTACCCCTTAGGGGAGGAGGGATGGGAGAGGTGGAGGGTGAGGGGAGATGGAGAGACTGCGTGAATCTCCACAGATTATCGCAGTATATAGATTTATAAGAGTGCGTTGAAAGGCATTCATGGGGAAGGAAGGCATGATTGGGAAGAAAGGCATTCCCTCCTCTATATAGATGGAGAGGAAGGAGGGACTGCGCAACTCTCCACGTATTAACGCAGCATTTAGACTTTTAAGGGTGCGTTGAAGGGCATTCATGGGGAAAGGAGGCATGATTGGGAAGAGAGGCATTCCCTCCTCTGGATAGATGGGGGGAAGGAGGGGACGCGTAACTCTCCACATACAGCTTAACGCAACACATCGACTTAAGAAAGCGTTGAAGGGCATTTTTCTCTATTGGCAATTGCTTTTGACTACTTGCCCTTTTTAAGACTCTCAGAGGGCGATTTTATTAACTGAGAATCCATCTTGGGGAAGGAAAGCATTAGCGCCTCTAAATAGATGGAGAGGAAGGAGGGACTGCGTAACTCTCGGTGATGCGACTTTTGCGGCGCGTACACTTGCGGCTCAGACATTTGCGGCCCAGACACTTGCGGCTCGCCCCTATTTTGACACTTGCGGTCCCGACACTTGCGACTAAGAAATTTTCGGCGCAGACATTTGCGGCTATCAATTTGAGGCCCAGACACTTGCGGCCCAGACTATTGCGGTTTTGCCATTTGAGGCTCCCCCTATTGTGACACTTGCGGCCCGACATTTGCGGCCCCAACACTTGCGGCCCCGACATTTGCGGCGATGATTAAAAAATTAAGTAAATTAAAATAAAAAATACTAATTTATCGTTCAATAAATCAAGTTGTTTATTACAAGTTTATTCTCCTAGGCATCATAATCCGGAAATCCGAATTTTTTAGACCAGGATCCGGACGAGAGATAACCGAAATTTTGTTTCATTTCGTTCCGCTATTTCGTGCCCTTTTATCATTTCGTTTCGTTTCGGAGCGAAATAAAATAAACTTTCGGACGAAACGAAATAAAAATACACTCCTAATGACATGAATTTTTGTAAAAATTTTTTGCAATTTTTTTTATTTTTAGGAAATTTTGTGGGATCTTGGTTATTTTCTATACCGGACCCGGACCGAATCCGGGTATTTTGCTCGACCCGGATCGAATTTTCCTGATCAAAATCCGGGAAATACGGGTTTTATCAAAATACCCGGATTCCGGACAACCGGACCGGAAAATCCGGACCGGATCCTGTCCGGTTTATAATACTTTAATTCTAATAATATTTTAATTTACTTAATTTTATAATCATGGCCGCAAATGACGGGGCCGCAAATGTCAAAACCTCAAATGTCGGGCCGCAAGTGTCACAATAGGGGGGAGCCTCAAATGTCAAAACCGCAATAGTCTGGGCCGCAAGTGTCTGGGCCTCAAGTTGATAGCCGCAAATGTCTGCGCCGAAAATTTCTTAGCCGCAAGTGTCGGGACCGCAAGTGTCAAAATAGGGGCGAGCCGCAAGTGTCTGGGCCGCAAATGTCTGAGCCGCAAGTGTACGCGCCGCAAAAGTCGGCTAATCTAACTCTCCACCTAAGAGAGCGTTAAGAGCATTTTTCTCTATTGGCAATTGATTTTGACTACTTGCACTTTATATGCCCTTCAGCCTTTGATTTTATCGCCCAGGATTTTAAACAGATAACGCAATTTAACAAAGCAAATTATCAACTCAATTATTCAACTTTATGGAAAACTTAAAATATACACAATTTATAAACTTTATTTCAGTTTTGCCAATCACAAATAGGCCTCCATTCTTTATTGAAATGTGGTTCTGGTGCAAGATCTTCCATTTGACATTCAAGAATTTTGTCCAGATTCTTAAGGCAAGGCTGAATATGACCAAGGATTAGAAAATTCAGACCCTATTGTAACTTAGTATAATATTTAATATCAATTAGAGAAGTCAAACCTACACAATTCTCTATTATTTATAATTTTATAATTTAATTATTATATATTATGCATTTAAACAATAATTCCAAAATTTGATAAAATCAGCAGTGTATAATATAAATTAATTGAATAATTTAATTATCAATGTTAGAGAATTGTGTAACTTAAGTTTCTCTGCATACAAATTTTGAATGCATATTTTATATTTATATCAGATCTCAATGTTTCCTAAATTTTTCTATACCTGGTATGAGAAAATTGAACTCATATCACATGTTGGCACATCTCCTCTACAAAAACTGGCACATTCGGACGGAACGCCTAAATAGTAGCTTTATCAATATTTTTATTACTTGGGATTTTCAACCTTTTCGTTTACAGCACTCAGTATTGTCATTGGCATCTGAACAATTTTAAAATATGGAAGAAATAATTATGTAAAGTACCTGCAGCACAATATGTCCAAATTGTCAATTGAGTTATGCATTTTAATCCTAAACCACTCCCGAGCTTAAAATAAAACATAATAAGAATGGTTAATTTTATTTACATCATTAGCTGTTGTATTATATCCACACAACGGAAGACAGAACCTCATGTCATGATCTCCTACCTTTAAGTTTTAAAATTAATTTTAAACTTTTAAAAATTCTTTATACAGTCCTGCAGCAGTTTTGTATTCGTCTGTGATGTGCATTTGCGCAACTGCATTTGCATTGCTTAGCTAAGAGTTTGGCCTGTGAAAAATAATTAAGCTAGGGATGATAAGTAATACTCCTAAATAAAATACAATTTTTAGGTTAATTTGACTGTATACAAAATTAGTCAATTAAAATTTGACTTTCAAAAAATAATGAAAAATGATGACCCAGCTCTACCGAGGCCTAGGATTTTATCGTAAAAATAAATTGTTCTATTTATGAAAAAATTAATCTGGTGCCAATTTTTGATATGAGTTGCATAAATAAAAATGAGTTACATGCTGTAGTTGGGTTATACCTATTTTTCATTTTATGACTAATGGTGCTTACCGGTTTCGATTAAATCTCGAATTTAACTTTTCCCTACCTTGATTGATTTGCCATAACAAAATCCTTGTTTAGAATGTTCATGGCAAAAATCCCTCTCTTCTGGGCATAAAAATCTGAGCTCTTCAGTGGTAAGTGGACTAGCTGGTGCGGCTATTGGACGGATGGCACAAATAAGTAGAATTGCGAGTATTGTGGCGAGCAAGCCGATTGCAAACATTCTTTAGATTTTGAGTAAAAATGAGCAAGGGTTTAATTAAATGTTTTTTGAAAATAAAGGTACTAATCCGTTATCCCTACGTGTTTTTGGGGATTTTTTTGCGGACAAATTTTATTGATAAAGTGTAAAGACTGCGGATGGAATTGTCCGCAAAAAAGCCCGCAAAAACACTTAGGGAAAACGGAGTACTACCAAAATAAATTTAGGGTACTACTGAAGAAAAGGGTGCTTTTTCTGCGGACTTATTTTGCGGACTTTTCCTTTCTTTCTTTTTTAATGTTTTGGTTCTTTTGCTTGTAGCGAGTTTTGCTTGTAGCAACTAAACTGTCAAAGGATTAATTTTTATGCCAATTTGAAAAATATGTGTTCACCATTAATTTGAACATTATAAACGATGATGAATGAATTTCAACTATGGATCACTGATCTCGGAATGCTTCATAGAAAAAGAATATGTGATTGTGGATCAAAATGCGGGTAATTTCAAACCTTGTCCCCCCCCCCCCCTCCATTATTTTTATTACCTAAGATTGTACAAAATGGTCAGATTTCCTTCTTCCTCTCTTTCCTCTATTTGAGCTTGGCATATCAAACCAGAAACATTGTTAAAGAGAATAATAAAATTAATTGAGTTGTTCAATATTGAGTTCAATTTTTTTTCAGTTGTTAAATTAGTTTTAAATATAAGTAAGAATGTAATGTTTTTACACAGAAATTCATAATGTAATAGACTAAATCAATTTTATTTAATTCTTTTTTTGTTTAACATCGTTTTCGGAGGCAAAAAATAAGTGTATGACTATAAAATTAATCTTCTCTTTATCAATGTCTCTTGTTTGAATATGCCACAGGGCAAATAGAGGAAGGAGGGGAAGAAGAAAATTTGACCTTTATGTACAATCTTAGGTAAGAAAAATAATAGGGTGGAGGGCCTTTGACAGTTAGTTGCTACAAGTAAAACATGTAAAGGAAAGGAAAAGTCCGCAAAATAAGTCCGCAGAAAAAGCACCCTTTTCTTCAGTAGTACCAAATTTAGTTAGGCAATATAAATTCTTTTAAATTTTAGTCAAGAAATCTTGACTTACAAAAATACATGCGCTGTTTTACAAACTATGTATATATCAGGGGTGGCGCGAGTGCCATAAAATACGAGACACGAGATTCACGAGATACGAGATTCTCAAAAAAATACGAGAACGAGATAAAACGAGATACGAGATCTCTCAAAAAATACGAGATTTCACGAGATACGAGATCACGAGATACGAGATATTAAGTATTTTTTTCAAAATTAGACACACCTAAAATTGTAAAGCCGAAAATATATGGGTTTGAATGAATAATGATTACAACTGGATTATGAAGGATATTGGGGATTTAGAGGATCAAGGGGATTTATTAAATATCGGGGATTACGGAGAATCATGAGATTTGGAAGGATCAAGGATATTTAAAGAAACAGATACCATGGGATTATGAGGTTGTCAACTGATTTAAGTGATATCGGATACCGGGAAATGGACGCTCGATAAGGAGTCGAAGTTTTTCTGAGCCACTCCATGATTAAGGTATAAAATATAAATATCTTCATAATATCCGCTTAGTCACTAGATAACCTATTAAACTCTCACAATCCATTGATATCTCTCGAACTTGATGGATTCCCAGATATCCATCCGAATCCTCATATCTATTTAAATTCGCCTTAATCCCAGTAAATCGGCCGATATTCTTCTATCCCTTCAGGTCCACTGATAATTCCCGCTTGACCAACTTTATCCCTCTTCCTTTTTCAGCGCCGCAGGCGAAAATTTTGGGAATTTTAGAAGGCCGTAGGCCAAAAAATTCACCATTTCAGCGCCGCAGGCGAAAATTTTAGAATTTTGGAAGATCAATGGGCAAGATTTCTCCCTTTTTTCCTAATTATAGAATTTTAAAATAGTCCCAAATTTTTGACATTTTTTCTAAAATAGATCGAAAATATCTCGTGTCTCGTGGCAAAATACGAGATACGAGACACGAGATACGAGACCTCTAAAAAACACGAGATTTCACGAGATACGAGACACGAGATACGAGACGAGAGCCACCCCTGGTATATATGTATAAAAAATTTTCCTTCAAATAAATAACTTAATATTAAATTATATACTAATAGATTTAGACTTTAATAAACTTTGTGTTTAGAAAGAGTTGTAGAACAGAAGTTGTAGATTTCGTTTCGTTTGGCTCTTTCGTGCCCTTTTTCCGTTTTGTTTCGAAACGAATTTTCTGACGAAACGAAATAAAAATACACCAGTAATGACGGGAATTTTTGTAAAAGTTTTTACAATTTTTACGAAATCCCAGTGGCCAACCAAATTTAACAATTCAATCAACTTATCCACCTTTATTTTGACAATCGCAATAGAATTAAACCTCAAGAATGGAGGTCTTCTGTCTGAAAGTACCGCTCAAGAAGTTCGACTGAATCTTATAAACAAAAATCAAAGTAAATAAAGTTACCTATTAGAATTTAGTCTGTTAATTGTAGTTAAGCGCTTTCCACAGCTATTAGTTGAATAATTATTAAATTGACTATTTTGTTCTAATAACGGATCAGACAGAGAAGTGGGATTATTTTCAGTAGAAATCGTTATTTCTTCCAGCCGTTGACCTTCTATTAGCAAGGAGACATTTTTTTGCTCTTGAGCGGGGATGATCAATGGTGTCGGGCTGCGATCAATTTCAATAGTTGAATATTCATTATTTTTGCTGTTAATTTTTGATTTAATTTGGGCAGCCAACATTGATTCTGATCTAATTTGAAATTTTATTTAATGTAGTTATAAAATTAAAATCTTAAAAAATTTTAAATTTAAATTTGTTGGTACTTATAATGAATTAACTCCCAGTGATAATTTGAAAGAGTCCCATATCAAATTATTTCCCCGCTCTCTAATAATACCAACCTAGAGAAACATAAGTTTAAAAAATTTCCAAGAGAATAAAAAGAATTAAATTTAAATTTTTCATTTAATTATGATTATAGAATTAAAAGCAAAGATTTGCTAAGTCCGCTTTGTTTTACATATTTTAGGCAATTCTTAACCAACTTAATATAAAAAATCTTAAGTTATGATGATTAAATTAACAAGTTTTAAAGAATATTATTGCATTTTTTACTGTCAGTTTAGTATTTTTGTAAGCCATATCAACATGGCTAATTATCCGAATAATTAATTTAAAAAGAAGTAAAACAAGCATGTATTTATGTAAATGAAAGCTTTTTAGAGTTTAAAACAATAAAAGAACACATTTCTTGTTTTTTATCTCCTAATTTCATCTTAAAAATAAGCACGACTTCGATGTATTTTATATTGGAGTAGAGAGGAATGAAAGTGAATTTTAGAAAATTAAAGAAATTAATTTTTAGGTTAATTTGAACAGCAAGTCTGATCAAGCATAGATTGTTTAGATGCTTGATTGTTTAAATGCTTGATTCTCAGCTACAGATCTGTATTCACTGATTAACGAATTTTTAAAATTTTAAATTCCCCAAAAATTCATAATCGTGCTTAAATATGGTATCGTAGACTTACAGTATGTCAATGAAAAAATCTTAACCGGTAATTTTTATATACAGTTTTTAATGCTGATTCGAATGATATACTATTTATCCTTATCAGATTTTTATTCACTGATTAACGAATTTTTAAAATTTTAAATTCCCAAAAAATACATAATAGTACTTAAATATGGTATTGTAGACTTACAGTATGTTAATGAAAAAATCTTAACCGGTAATTTTTATATACAGTTTTTAATGCTGATTCGAATGATATATTATTTATCCTTATCAGATTTTTATTTACTGATAAATGAATTTTTAAAGTTTTAAATTCTCAAAAAATTCATAATAGTGCTTAAATATGGTATCGTAGACTTACAGTATGTTTATGAACCAAACTTTTGATACCTCGGTTTTTAGTCACTTTTTACCTTAACTTCTCTTTTTAAAGATTCGTTTATAAAATTCTTCTTTGGATGCTAAACATTCTCATTTTATAATTGAGCCATTAATCCTGTCGCATGGTATTTACCGTATTTCCTAAAATAGTACGGCCTGCTAAATTAGTACGGCCCCCTGAAATAGTACGGCCCTTTGGAAGAGGGTTGAAAAATAGTACGGCCCCCTAAATTAGTACGGCCCCCTAAAATAGTACGGCCCCCATTTAAAAAATATAAAAATAGACAAAATTTAATTTTCTAATCATAGTCATTATTCCTCGCAATATTTAATTAATTTATTGAATCTTAATTTCTATTGGTATAGAAATAGGAGTGCTTAAGAGGATATCGGGGGATTAATGGGGATTTTATCGGATTTGGAAGGATATTTATGGACTTGGAGTGATTTAAGTATGGATGAATTTAAAAGGATTAGTTGGAATCAAGGTGAATAACGAATAGTTTATAGGTTTCCGTGACTTTTGCGCCTAGAACATTTGCGCTATCATTAAAAATATATGAATAACTACAGTCGGACCTCTCTATAGTAGGGTTGTCGGATAGATGAATCAGGCCCAGGCCTAATTCATCATTTATAGTCCAGACCTAATTCATCAGCTACCAAACCTCTATTGTACTTACTGAACTTCCTTCATTCCTGGATACCATTTTTACCCCAAGGGGTACACTATAGTGAGGCTAAGATAAGATAAACTGGTAACGTAAAGAATATTTTATATTATACGTTGAAGAATATTTTAAGACCCGTCATTATAGATATTTAAGACCCGTCATTATAGACGGGTCTTAAATAATTTTTAAGGTCTGCTAATTTCATGGTTGGAACAAGCTTTTGATTTGGGATAATTTCCGAGCATACTATTGTGGATACTATAAAAAAATTTAAACAAAAAAAGATTCAGATAATTTTGAAAAAGGGTTGAAATATAGTGCGGCCCCCTAAATTAGTACGGCCCCCTGAAATAGTACGGCCCTTTGGAAGAGGGTTGAAAAATAGTACGGCCGGCCGTACTATTTTAGGAAATACGGTATCTAATTAACACTAAAAAATAATTTGTATTTGTTTGTAGCGTGACGAAATTTTGTACGATGTTTGTGTCGAAACTCTTTCTGAGGGTAATTTAGTTTCTCTCTCTATTAAAAAGTTAAAGCAATTTAATTTAATTCTCACATTCCTAATTTAAAAAAGAGGTGTGAGAGCAAAATTGAAGGTTTACGTGGCATTATTGTTTACTTAATAAATCCAAATGGGTAAAATTATTTAAAAAATTAATTTTTTTAGTTACGAAGAATACGCATTTATTGCCTGACAGCTAAACTTCACAAAATCTCCCCTAAAATTTAATTTAATTTCATAGGCTAAAAATGATTTCAGTACACAATTTATTGAAAAATTAAATAGAGTTTCAGAAAAACGCTCCGCAATGGATAGAAAAGCTTCAATAGTGGACGTGTTTCTTCATTTTAAATTTCATTTAAAAAATTTTAAGCTAAATTTTTAATTAATATACAGCCGAACAGCATTATACATACTCTCCTATGTGTAAAAATTGTAGATCTCGTCACGATCTATCTTAATTATCATGTAGGGTTGGACCAGAGGTCTTTTGGAAAACCAATTTCCGACTTGCAATTTCCGAAAATTTGGGCTGATTTCATTTTTTATTTCGTACAGTTCCAATTTCCGACACCTCGTCATTTCCGATCGACCTTTGGGTTGGCCCAAGACACCGTCTAACTCCAATCTTTTTTAGCTTAAACCTTGACCCTGACGAGCAGTATCTAATATTGGTAAATCAACTTATGATCCAGCTTTAAACAAAATATTTATTACCAATTCATTTTTTTAAAAATATTTTACTTAAGAATTTCAATGGCGAGATAATCCGTCTTTTAAAAGCTTCCTTTCCTTTTAATGCATTAATCTAAAATTTCCTCCCAACGGATTAAAAATAAAAATTGTTGCCATAGACAAACGTCTGTGTAATTAGTGAAACACCAGACTTCACTACTTTAAAATTTAAAGTTAATGCTTTAAAGATGCCATAAAAAATAAATTTTATTGTAACTATTTAAGCGAGCTTAAAGAATGCACTTTATTTTTTTGACGTTTCTATTAAATTCCAATATTAAATTTTCAAATTGTTTTCTGATATATTTTTCTAATTCAGTTGTCTAAAGTGTAGGCGAGATGCCCGAGCGATAGAGAGCCCGAGCGATAGAGATGCCCGAGCGATAGTACTATAACTAGCCAATGGGCTTACAAAAATTGCATTGGCTTACAAAAATAAAGTGCCATCGCTAATTCATACTGGTCATTTCTAAACTTATTGAACTTTTATTTAAATGTTCTTAAAAATAATTTTATATATTATACAAATTATTCTTTAGGGAAATTTATAAAGCATTAAATTTAGCAATGATTTCTGAAATTGAAAGTGCTAATAGCAGCACAAGCTCTCCTTCATATTCCCCTCAAGCTTCAAATATTATTCCTAGCATTTCTGAACTCTTCAACATAGCTAATTTAAACTTGACTATTTCTAAACCAACCACAACCCCAAACAACAGCCCGATCCAAATGTCAGTTCAAACTGCAAATTCACTTTCACTGCTACACTTGGCCCAAATGCAACAAATTTTTCAACAAACTACCGAAAATATGGCGCTTATACGTCTGGCTATAACTGCCGAGAAAGCAGCAATGGCCAAGGAAATGACTAGAATTGGGCAGCTTAAACTAGGAAAAAATTTAGAATTGAAGCAGAATAATATTAAAATGAAGGATAAAAATTTAAAAGCCTATGATAATCCTCTAAGCGAAGGAAATGACTGCTTAAATGACGATAAAAGTAGGAAAGACTTTTTTACACGCTGTGGAATAACCTGGAAGTATTTAACTTCAACACGGTCAATTGAAGAGTTTGACGAACTTCGACGTAGGCAACAGGTAATTTTTGAAAATTTTTATTTATACGCGTATATATGTTAAATGATTTTGTGAAGACATAGTTTCTTCGTGACTTATGATTTGTCAATAAAAATTGACATTCAAAAATATTTCAAATTTGATTTAAAAAACAACTAAATATTTAAATCCGCTGTAATCATAAGGTTATTTAATTTTAATTTAAATAACAAATATTAAGTATAATCTTAAGCTGAATAAAAAATTATTTAAAAATTTACAGAAAATTAATTTAAGAACAATATTTAAATTTAAAAATTCAGGTCTCAAAAAATAGACATGTCGGCTATGGAATTCGTTATGCATGCACTAGAAATGCAAAAGCAAGGGATAATTGCCCTTATTTATTACTTCATATTCCTGGTAAATTTATTTGATTCACAATTGAAATAAAATTTAAAATTAAAGGAAATAATGGCATTCAGCATGTTTACTCTCGAAATTGTCATACTCATCCAATCAAACACATTCGCTCAAGAAATAGAAACAATTCTTCTAATAGTAGTGTGATTCTATAGTTTTGAAAATTTTAAGTGTTTCTGGATGTAATATAAATATTCTGATATAAAATTCTGGGTTCTACTTGACTTTATGAGTCCAATCGAACTTTATGAGTCCAATAGAATTTTATGAGTCCAATCGAACTTTATGAGACCAATCAAAATTTATGAGTCCAAATAAAACTTTGAGTCCAATCACATTTTATTAGATTTTATTAAATAATACATTTATTAAATAATACAATAAAAATGAATAGGGTTATGTTGTTAGACCTATGGAGTATAGGCGAGACGCTTGTGCAAAACCCCGCGCTTCGCGCGGGGTTTTGCGGCACGCGCCTCGCGGGAGTCAACGGTCGCTGGGTTCTGGGTCAGCAACATAAACCTATCCCTTTTTTCATCACCAGCTTTGATCTGACGACCTACCCCCGTAGCTCACAAAAATCTGATTGGACTCATAAACTGTGAATGGAATCATAAACTGTAGTAGAACCACAATTTTTACTTAGAATAATAAGACATGTCGGATTTATAAAATCTGTTTGGACTCATAAATTTTGATTGGACTCATAAAGTTTTGTTTGGACTCATAAAGTTCGATTGGACTCATAAACTTCGATTGGACTCATAAAGTTCGATTGGACTCATAAAGTCAAGTAGAACCAAATTCTGACTATTTTAACTTTAATTAAATAGTAGATTTTAAATTAATATTATTTAATTATTTTTAATTTTACAAGATATACGTTTATTAAAATTTATGATTTAATAAATCCGTAAGCTTGTTGCTTTAATTTATTTTTTTCGAGCATCTTTATGTATTTTTGCAAGCCATAATCTATGGCTATTAAAGTAATATTTAATTTAAATTCGTCAAACAAACTAAAAAATAATAAAAGAACAAAATGAAGCCAAAAAATAAATTCTTAATTAATTTTCCCTTTCGATGTTTAATTCTGAAATCCTCTGATTATAAACTTTTTCATAATTTTCTGCCATAATGTCCGAAGTAAATCTCTTTTCAAATTCAGCACGTACTTCAGAACGATCAAATTGAGATGCTTTTTTTACAGCCTCAACGGCTTCCTCAATTGAGTCAAAAAGTGTGCCGGAAATGCCTTCCTTAACTATTTCAGGAACAGATCCTCTACGTCTCGCAATTACAGGTGTTCCACAAGCCATAGATTCAATCAACACCAATCCAAAGGGTTCAGTCCATTCAATTGGGAATATTGAAGCTATGGCATTTCCAAGGAAATCACTTAAAGTTTGAATTTTAAAATTAATATCAATTAATATATTTATTTAATTATAAATGGCCTAAGTTATATTGGATTTACATCAGGTTCCGAAGCGGTCTATTGTATATTTTTGGAAGCCTAAGTTAATTAGGCTATGGTTCTGAAACTAGCTTTTTAATTTAAAAGTTAGTTCAGAGATTTCTCATTACTGTAATAAATAAGTCATTTAACTTATCCACTGAAGGAAGATAGGCCTAGTTAAGGTCCATGACTAGTTAATAAGGTTGTGAAGGTTACGTTTATTGGAATAATCTCAGATTTATGTAAAAATGTCAAATGTCCTAAAATTTTATTTATACCTACTTTTTCTGCTTATCATTCAATTCACCAACAAATTCAACCATGTCCTTGTGTTCATCAATCATTTTCATAATTTTAGCCACATATTCATCCCCAGCACCAAATTTACTGGCAGCAAGTTTTAATCTAATTCCAGCTTTAACGGCAACTGAAAAAGATTATTTGAGAGTTTAGAAGATAATTTGTCAAAGGAATATTTGACATCCAAAAAATGAAGGGAAACCATCCCGGACAGCACTAAATGACATAAAATTATTTCTAATTTATCTAATTTGAAAAATTAAATTTAATATTTTTCAAAAATAGAAAATGTTCTAATAAAAGGTCAGTCGTTACTTTATCACATTTTACTAACTAACTAATCTCTTACAACAAATTTACTGGCATTTTACCGCATTGTAACTAGCACAGAAAGCTTGTCCGATGTCAACCAAAAATCTCATATGACTTTTAACTAATTTAAAAAATCCTCACTTTCAATAGCCAAATCAGGCCTTTTGTCTTTATGAAATCTGCCAAGGAAAGCCAAATAAGGGCCTTTTCCTGTTTCAATTTGAGGTTTTTCTATAAATTTGTAGAGATCATTGGGTAATCCGTGATGAACCGTTGCAATCCAATTTGGATGGCCCTCAACATGAACTCGTTGGTCGTTGGAAATTGAAATGAGTGGAATGGTGTTGTATTCAAAACCTAGCTGGTATATACGGCCACTTTAAATTACAAAGTGTTAAATATCTAATTAATTGCAGTTTGAAGAGTGGTAATACATGAATAACACAAAATTATATATACATTAATAGTTATTTTTTGGATGCCAGTCCTACGATTAGGCAAAATAAAGATACACTTATTGTCATAGCTAAGGAAAAAGAAGATAACTTGATTAAATATTTCAAATTGTAACCCAGACCGATGATTACCGAGACTCGTAAATTTAAGATTGAGGGAGAAATTTAGACACGAGACCCAGTTCGAGGACCGAGCATTCTGATGAGCTAAAAAACTTCAATGGGATCTACCACTATTCTACCCCAAACCGAAAAACTCTGTTTAATAAAATTATGCTCTCCATAAAAATAGTATTCAATCAAAATTTATCTCACATTATAAGGCCATGAGTAGTCACAGCCATAGCTGCTTTTTTATCTCTCAATATTTGACGTGTTTCTTCAAGGAAAAAATCGGTATGAAAGTGTAAAATGTCGAATTTCGAGGCATTTTGTCGAATACTATTGAACATTGGGATATATGGTGACAAATCTTCTGAAAGTCCAATTTCAGGTCTGAAAATAATTTTTGAACTTGTCGAAAAAAAATTTTTTAGTAGAGGAAGATGCTTAAGTAAAGCCTCCTAAATAAAATGCAATTTTTTAGGTCAATCTGACTGTAGTACATATAGTACATACAAAACTAGTCAATTAAAATTGACTTCCAAAAAATAAGATCGAGGCAATTGAGGTAACAGTGGCCTAAGATGGTTTCATGAAGATTATTATTCTACAAATTTATGGAAAAACTAATCTTGTGCAAATTTTAGATCACTTTTGTTACTCCAATCCAATACCTCAAGGTGTGGGCCTAGCCTAAAGATTATCCCAATACATAATGAATTTGAGATTTTGGCAATTTTGTTTGTTACTAGTATGAGGAAAGATGCCTAACTAATGCCACCTAAATAAAATACAATTTTTTAAGTTCAATCGGACTGTAAACCAAATTAGTCAATTAAAATTTGACTTCCAAAAAATTATCAAAACTTTCAACTTCACTACGGGCTAAAATTGTTTCATAAAGATTAATCATTCTACTTATGAAAAAATTAATCTTGTGCAATCTTTGATAGGACTTGCTATAAACTAGATTTAAACACAACACCTTTGTTATTCCAATCCCACACCCCTTCAGTAACTAAAAGTTACATTTCCTCGAAAATCATTTTTTATCCGGAAATAATATCCGAATCATCTATTATCCGGGTTTTTTCGTTCCGGAAAAAAATTTCTTCTAAAAATTTTACAAACCCGCTTGGAGCAAGTGTAGCTGACGTTTTATTTGAATTGTTGGAAGCAAATAGAGTCACCTTTATAAGTTTAAAAAATTTAAATTTTCAGAAATATTTCAGACTTTATGCCCTCTTTTTACTAAAGCTTCCACCAAGTAATACACAGCACGTTCAGTTCCTCCATAATTTCCAGGCGGTATTGTTTTCACCAAAGGGGATATTTGAGCTATTCTAAGTATTCGTTGAGCTTTCCTGCTAGGTTGTAATGAAAATTCATTTAAATTTTCATTGTAATGAAAATTTATTTTCTGTTCAATAGACTTCTGGTTAGTTGGGAGCGTAAGCGCCAAGCAATGAGAAAACCGCAATATGGTAACTTATACGCTTTAGGTACCCACGCCCCCCCCCTTCGAAAGCTAACAATATCACACTTTACTTTTACAAAAACAAACAACCGAGCTTGCGAATAAATAGGGTGGTATCTAAAAGGTATAAGTTCCTCAGTATCGATGCCTGCTAGGGGTTAAGAGACTGTAAACACGAACGAGTAAACGAGTCTGTTCAACACTACTCAAGCAACTTTAGGGTTTTTCGAACTTATAAGTTTATTTTTAATCGTACTTTGTACTTATTTTTGCCAAAACTACACTACTATTTTTTATTTCCTATTACTTTTTTTTATATTTTGGCCAAATGTGTATTCTAAAATTCATAAAAACCCGCGCATGAATTTCATAAAATAATATTATCATTTTAAAAACACTTGAAAAACAAAGGAAACCAGTTTTGAAAAAATTAAACAAAAATACCTCTGCGAAGGTATATTACTTTCCGTAAAGTACTCTCGTTCAATCAAGGAAGAAATAAGTGCATAAATAAATAAAATAAATAAGGTGCAAATTCCAATTTTTTTTAAAGTGAAAGAAAATGAGAGCCAAGAATTGAGAGAATTTTGTAGTTGTTTTTGTTTGAGATTATTTTTGATTGGATTTGTCGTTGATTTTGCCCCAAGTTTTGAGTACATTTCTGAAGCTGCTAATTTTGTGTCTTTTCTGTTGTGCAAAACAAATTCCATAATTTTTTAATCACTTAAAGGTCAAATTTTTAAAAATATTAATTTGTTTGAAAATTAGAAATACGAGTTGATTAAGTTATGGATAAAATGTGTTGAACGCTTGTGGAATTTCTGAAAAAATCGTTTTTGCTGCATTCTACTCCTTTGCCTCACTTTCCTTTGATTGGTTGGTGAATAAATCACCTAAATCACCTTTATCCCTTCAATCCACTAATATCACCAAGCCATTTTATCTTTGCTTGTTTGATTTTGATCACTCAAAATAAAGAGAGGCAAAGAATGATTTTGGATGTAGGATGTAGCAAAAGATGATGAAAAAATGATGGATGAAAAAAATGTAAAAAATGCAGCAAAAAAAGAATGGAAAAAAGGATATAAAGATAAAACAAAGGGTGCAGCAAAAACTGGCTTGCCTATATATACATATGTGCGAAAATACATATGTATAGGTAGGCAACGAAATGGACATTTACCTGGGTCCCCATACCCGCTGGTTCTATTCCATCTCCCATCGAAAGAATTTTCCAAGGCACGATTTTTTCCCTGACATTGATTTCCCTGACATATGATCAGAAATGCAAGATGATTAATAAAAATTGAGAATAACTTAAATAATTTGATTCTAAAAAAATGGAGGTATTTATGAGTAATCAGAAATGGGTTAATAATTAAATATAAGGGAATTATTAACAGAGAATAATGAGAATAATATTTAAAAATATTCGGGAAATACATAATATGTAATAAATTAAAATTTGGGAGAATATATTTTTATTAAAACAATTGTTTAGCGAATATCATGGCCACCATGGGAGTAACCAAAAATTTAATTCTAAAAAAACTGTGGTTGGAACAATGTACAATGTGCGCGAATAACACGTGAATTTTTATGAAATGCAAGGGGATAAAGAGGTTTAATTTTTGGCAAAAAATTTTTAGTAAAGAGTGCCCCCTTTCAAAATTTATAATCTTTTTAGGTTCTACATGACTTTATAAGTCCGAAATAAGGGAAGGAACGGTCCCAGATACAGTGGGTGTAGGTCCCAAACATGAAAAAATGTATTGGAACCATACCCCTACTTTGTAACACCAAGAAAAGGGTACAGCCCAAGTAGGCGCGCAGCCAAGTAGGCGCAAAGCCATAACTTGCTTCAAGATTTTCGAATCTGACAAAATTTAGCTTAAACGATTTCTCTCATCGAGCTAAAGATTTGGTACCAAAATTGATAAGGGTTGGAAATTTTTCAACAGGTTATGGATTTGCGCCGTTATGGTCGCGCGCCTACTTGGGCGTGTTTTTCTTTTTCTATTTTAATTTTTAATTTAAAAAATTGTGTAAGTTATGAAATTCAAAAATATTTTCCATTTTATATTTATAAACTCTACCCCTCACTTTTAAGTTATGTTAAACTTTATTATTATTACACTCGTACGACTGAACGCACTTGGGCGTACTTGAATAACTGAAAATTTTAAAAAGACGAAAACAAAATTTTTGGAAATAAATTTTGTGAAGAAAAGTTAAATAATGTTAGAATTTTATTAAATTTTAATTTTGATAAATTATTTTGAAATGATAAATAAAATAAATTTAATGGAAATTAAAATAAATTCAATTCAAAATTGAAAGAATAAGCTTAAATTTAAATAAAAGTTCTGACAAATTACTCAATAATGTTTACTTAACAGGATGTGCCATTTCGCCTTTCGCTTTTGACAGATTTTCAGATTTTATGGATTTTTCACTTTTGAATTTTGTCTTCGCTTTTCGTCTTGATTTAAGATTGACTTTCGATTTTCTCATTTTTGGCACTGCATTAATATTCAAAAATGAGTCAAAAATTTTAATTTCTAGTTCAATTTTTTGCATTAGATTTTTAAGTAAAGTTATTCATTGTCAGTAATTTCAATCATTCGCCATTTTGCCTTTCGGTTTATAATTGATTTTGAATTGATAATCGCTTTTTAAAATCTGTTTCGGGGACAGCCACATTCAGTATTAGCTAACGAACCAAAAAACCTAACCGAACCAAAAAACCTTAGATTTTCGATTCGATTAGGGTAAACCGAAAAATTAGTCTAAACAATCAACCCCATTTCTTGTCTACATATAACGATAAATCAAGCACATTGCCTAATTTTAGAATTCTCGAACCTAAATTACGAAATTGATTTTTAATATCATTTGTCTTCAAATAGCTTTAAATTTCCATTAATTTAGCTTAATTTAATTATTAATTCAATTATTAATTCAACGTGGAATTTTAATTTGGGTATATTTCTAAAGCTTTTCCAATTAATTCTTCGCTTTCGCTTACGTATTTGCCTTAGCTTCTAAAATTTTTTTTCTAATTTTTATTAAATTTTCTATTTAAAAATGCATATGATACAAACTACATAGTTTAATTTCGTACACTTTTCTGCCAATTTTACTAAATTCTACCTTGATTTTAAGCTAAATGCTTTACTAGCTTTACCAATTTTTTATAACTCAAGCGTTTCTAAAAATTAAAATAGCTTTTTACCTCTACAATTTAATATAATAAAAGCTAAAATTCATCCAACTAAAGGGATATTTGGGCGTCGGAGTTAAGCACTCAGTTAATTAGCTAGGTCATTACGTCTTGATGTTACTCAGTCGCGGGGCTGTAAATAATGTAAAAATATTTTTGAGTATCTTAAGCAGAATATGGTTCGATTCAGCTACTCGAGCTCCACCGAACTATGCTAGATCTTTTGAGATTACAGAAGCACGCCGTTACTTAGAGAGGCCATTTCGGGGAGGCTATTTCAGTAACATGGTTAAAAATATCTTTTGAATCACTAAAGCAGAGTTTGGTTCGATTCTGCTACTCGGGATCCTAGAGCGGACGAGATTACTCGAGCATTACTTAGGGAGGCATTGTGCCGTGAGGCTTCTCTGTCGCAGGATCCGTAAATTGTTTAAATATATCCATCGAATCATAAAGCTTAGTATGAGTCAATTCAGCTTATTGAAATTAATCAAAAAATACTAGAGATACCGGCATTCGAAAATTTTTTTATGAGCTGCCCATGAGGAATATTTTGACTCATGATAATGTTCCGCGGCCATTCGGCGCGTCAATTCAATTAATCCACAAGTCTTAAATTGTTTTAGATAGGCCGTAAAATTAAGTTTCGTGGATTTTTTATTTGCACAGTAGATATTTTGTGGGTAGTTTGATAGAGGATAGATTAATTTTAAATATGGGATGTATCATCTTTTCGTACGCAGACGTTCCTTCGGGATCAATTTATATACCAGTCGATTTCAATTAATTTAAATATTCGTCTTCATTTTATTTAATTTATTTTAGTCTTATTTTAATATATAATATATCATTTAATTAATATATAATATCTGAAATGTGTGTCCTATAGAATTACCTATTTCTCTCTCATTACCGTATCCTTCTTGAATAATAACCCTCCTTACCAATAGGCTACTTCTCATACGTTTTTCTCTACAATGCATCGTTATAGTCTTTCAGCCCTGTATAATAGTATGGGTTTTCATCAGATGCTAATCTTTGTCTTGTAAAAATTGGGATATATGATTTTATCTCATAATTATGTTTGCCGGCCTAGTCCGGTCAGAAAGATCGAGTCTGGCATCTAATTTTGCCCCCCCCCCGACTCGGTCGGGTCGGCTTGATAAAAATGAGGGACGAAAAAAACGACTCGAACGTCGGCCCTACTCGAAAACGGCAACCCTACTCTTAATAATAATTATGAGGTAAACTCATCTAGAATAGGGCACTGCGCCAAAAAGACCCGCTAACAATAAGCTAATTAATATTGTTAAAACTAACGAGAAATTTATTTTTTGTGCTTCTTTGAGAAGTTTTACCTTTTTTATGCTTTTAATAAAATTATAGTAAAAAATTGTATAGAAAATAGTTACAGACTACAAACATCACCTTTAAATATTGCTCATTATTTCTAAGAATCTTTCAAACTTGTTACAATTTAGTTCATTTTCTTTACATATTTACTACAAATTTAATTTGAAAAAAGGTGCGCGTAATAAAAGGCAGCTATTTAATTGTGGCATTTCCTTTAGTATTTTCATTATTAGTAGTTTACTATAGCTAGGGAGGGTAGTAAATTCGAGCCAGAATTGAAAAAGCTAATTCATTATTTTCACATTTTTTGTTGTTAGGTAACCAAAAAAACAATTTTTTAGTAAGTTTCCATTTTGTGACAAATTATAATATAATTGCGATGGATATAAAGCAGACCTAGTCACGGATACTGATTTTGGTATCCGTATTTGGATATTTACGGCGGATACAGGCTGATATCCGCAGGCATTTTGGTATTATCCATGTCCGTATCCATGAGCAAGTCTGATATAAACTCGCTCTTTATACTAGGGAGGAAATGCCTGTCTGGTCCTTAAAGGGTTTATCCTCACTTTACAGACATAATGCCACTTAAGTATGAATAACATACTAGGAAGCACTGCTATAACCGATTCTAGAGCGCCTTCGGTTACAGGCTCCTTTTGCTTAATATGTATAATTCAAATGGTGCCTATTTATATATGTATGTGTATATTTCCCAATATGCCTTATATTTTTTGCAGGTTGAGTTGTATTCCCTGCTATTTTTCATTATATATTGTATTGTATTATATGTATTTTTCTGTATTGTAATTGTATTTTAATTGTTTTCTATTTCAACTGTTTAAAGCATATAGCTACCGTATTTTTACTAAAATAGCCCCCTGGGTTAGTTTTTTCAATCGACCTCTTGAGGGGGTGGGGGTTATTTTACTATATAAGTGCGGGAGCTATTTTAGAGAAAATACTTATTTAATTCGAAAGCTAAGGGTATTACAATGGATAACACATCAATCCGGTCAACTATAAACGTTGGTTCGTTGCCACACGCCAAAAAACCTTCTGTATTATCTGAAGAAGGAATAATATAATATAGACATAATTTCTTGCTGTCTCAGGTATTGCTCATGGATTGT